TGAAGAAGTAGTTTTCTTGCCCATGAAAGCTTATGCTACCAATACTTCTGTTAGTCTTAAAGATGCCACAGGACCCTCTTTTGCTTTATTCAAGGGCTGAGAATTCCCTAGAGACTGAACTACTGCTTGTCACTTAAGGCAGTTGGTCCCTCCAAGGCAGGTTTTGCCATTGCCCATGACATTCCTGTGCTGTGGATAAATGGAAGACTTCGCTCTCCAGTCTGTCAATCTGACACTTTTCCCCAGCATTAAATTTACCTGAAAGCATTGACAGAGAACCAAAAATTAGAGCTGCTTACAAGTCAGATATTGTGCAGGGCCAACACCAAAATATGTGTAAACTTTATCTGAACATGCCCCTTTCCTCTCCTTTACTGCAGTTACTATGGCCTTACTGTTTGGTTCCCTGACATGATCCGATATCTCCAGAATGAGGAGTATGACTCCCGACTCAAAACCTTCAATCGGGAACATGTAACGCACTTCACCATAAACTTCACACTGGAAAACCAGATCCATAGGAATGGGGTATTTGTCAATATTAAGTAAGTGAACGTGACCTGATTTCCTTTATATCTGAGGGATGAGGGCATATGGTTCAATAAAACATGGCACATTTCTAGAGAAAGAGCTGAAATTTTCAAGCATTTGAATGCTCCCCAGGCTTTACCTCATACTAGTAAGGGGTAGCAATGGATTGGACATTCTAGATCAGGGATCGGCAACTTTTGGCCCGTGGCCCACCAGGGAAAGCCCGTGGCAGGCTAGGCCGGTTTGTTTACCTGCAGTGTCTGCAAGTTCAGCCGATCGCTGCTCCCACTGGCCGTGGTTCGCTGCTCCAGGCCAATGGGGGCTGCGGGAAGCAGCGCGGGCCAAGGGATGTACTGGCCACCCTTCCCGCAGCCTCCATTGGCCTGGAGCGGGGAACTGCAGCCAGTGGGAGCCACGATCAGCCGAACCTGTGGACGCTGCAGGTAAACAAACCGGCCCAGCCCACCAGGGGCTTTCCCTGATGGGCTGCATGCCAAAGGTTGCTGATCCCTGTTCTAAATCATTACCAGTCTGGGAATGCCGGTGATCACCATTCATGACTCTCTGAAGTTTTAGAATACAGCCAGTTTTTCAAACTAATTAGACAGGCAAATGCTGCAACTCCATGTGCAAATTGGGTACTTACCTGGGCAAACATGTTTACTGTTTGTACACACAGTTACCTGATTTAAGCATGCAGTTACAATAACTGCATGCAGAAATTAGACATGCATTTCTACTCAAAACACATACCTAACTTGTTTGAAATCTTGGCCATTAAGTTGCCATTCTGTAGCAAGGCAGTCTAGCATTTAGTGGTAGTGTATAAATAGGGCCCTCAGTATCAGGTGTGTTATATGGTCCCTTTCATGTCATGTTGCCAGCTTCCTAGGAAATCTAATTGCTCTTCAGGCTGGGGCCAGTCTAAATGAAGATTGAGGGCCAGGCAGAGAGGAATGATAGTCCAGTGGTTAACGTTCTATCCTGGGACCTGAGACCCAAGTTAAATTCCCTTATCTGCCACAGACTTCCCATATAACCTGGGGTGAGTCACTTAATCTCTCTCTGTCTCAGTTCCCTATCTGTACAATGGGAGCAATAGCACTGCCCTACCTCTTGGGATGATGTGAAGATAAATCCATTAAAAGGTTGTGAGGTGCCCTTGAGGGCCATAGAAGTACCTCAGATAGATTGTGTCGGGTCCTACTTATGCCACCTGTAATTGCCATGCTTATAGTATTTCTGCCAGTGGTGCATATGGTCTGATTCCTTGGATACACTCCTGGGGAGACACGGTGCCACAAAGGGTATGGCGAGGGATGAGGAAGAGGTGGGCCCATGATCCTATCTCAATTCTCTACCATCAGGCTGGCAGCAACAAGGACGTGCATAAGCACTTCTGGTCTGAAAACACACGTGTGTGGATTTGAAACTCACTTTCTATGAATCCTCATGCCTGTGACATCTGTTTTCAGCATATATGTTTTGCCAGTTGAACTTAGTCATTTGAGAAAGATAAACCCCAAGCCCCCAGTAAAGCCATGCACACAGTCAATGCAACATTATGTAAATTAAGAGTGGAAAGGATATTTGTAGGAACCATCTTTTTGCATTTTTGCATTATTTACCCAGCTAGGCATAACCCTCGTTCTGTGGGAAACACCAAGTGCAAACCCATGGAGCATCAAGAGATCATGTGCTCTTTCTACTCTGCTTTCTCTCCACCCCACCCCATTTATTCACACCTACAGTCCTAAAGAAGTGTATTTGAAGAATTCCTTTCCCAGAATTCTTCTCCTAACAGGCTCACATGTCCTCATGATGGGACCTTCTTATCTGGGACCAGTGCATGTGGAATCAGAGCATGTGGAATTGCTCTCCTGGGCCTCTTTGGAGCCAGAGGTGGCTTTCTTCTCTTTCCTTAAGACACACTGACATCTAGTGGTCCTGGGCAAGAAAGATTTGTTTTCTTTTTAAATATACTTTCCACTTCTGCTTCCTGAAAGCAAACACTTCTGTGCTCGCTTAAAGCTATTATTTACCATGGCCACCATTCTGCACCATCACAGTCAATGTGAGCTTCGCCATTGACTTTGTATCTGTCTCACAAACTTCTCCCACACCCACCCTTGCCAACTCAAAACAAAATATATTGGCCAGATCCTTAGTTAATGCTTTGAAGTCAACGGAGCTATGCTGATTTACACCAGCTGAGGATCTGTCCCTATGCAACTGTCAAGACATGTATCCGTCATCATTGTGATTAGTTTGTATGTGGTATCTCTTTTCCCTACCCTGGGTCTAGTTTTTCTTTTTGGTCTTTCTGGTTTGAAAGCTCTTTGGGGCTAGGGACTGTGTCTTCTTCTGCATCTGTACAGCATGGAGAATGTATTGGGCACTACCACAATATAAACAATGAAAATGATGGGGGGGCTGTGACGGGGCAGTGTGCCACACCCCTGCCTTTGTCACAAACACAGACTGCTCTGAGACCTTCTTGCTTGTAAATGCCACTGTATAGTTTATTTTCAGTGTTTTAATCCCTCCACCATACACCTTTACACGCTGTATCTCAACTTTCTAACTCCTTCTCCAAAGGCTGGGAAGATAAGGTGACTCTACTTCGAGGACCCCCTTTGTCGGGCTCTTGTAGCTTTCTGGTTGGTTGGTTTCTCTCTCCCATTTTCTCTTCCTCCCACAAGCACTCCTTCCCGTGCCCTTTTGTACAGCTTCCCTGTTAATGGCTAATTGGCTCATTGACTCACTAACTCCAATCTGGCCTGGTAAACAGGTACACCTCTGTCCAATTAGGCCTTTTCTAGAGGAACCTAATTAGTACAAACAGTGACCAGGGTGCTGGCTCAAGTGCTAGCCCTCAGCACTCTGTTACAGGGACCATGTCCCCTGTCTAAATGGAAATTCACCCATCGCCTTCTAGGTGTTACTCACATAGTTCCAAATAGACTTAGACTCTCTAAAATTTCAGCTGCACATGCGCCTCCTGGGAGGAATACATTATGGACTCAGAGTCACCATCCTACAATCACATTTTATTTTACTCCTAGTAGTTGAAAACTACATGGCATTCCCTATCGCTATTGTCTGTTTCCATTTGTCAAACATTGGTTTGGGATACGTCCATGTGTTTCTAATGGAGCTTGACATCAGTGTGGCCTTTTTATGGCTGCTTCTTGTTGATGCCCAATCATCCTGGGTGAGACCACTACTGCAGTAGGATGCAAGCCCTCCTCTTCCCTCCCCAAAATCCAACCTAACCGGAAGTGTGTTCAGTGGTTAAAGTGCTAGGACTCCTGTCTTGGCCACTGAGTAACTACATGACCTTGGATAAATCACTTCATTCCCTTTTGCCTTCCAACTCCTCCAGCTTCCCTCTATTTAAAGTGGAGATAATGTTGACTGACACTGCAGTGATGCTGTTGTGAAGCTTTGTTAATGGATGTCTGTAATGTGTTTCGGATGAAACATGCTACAGAAAGACCAGTTGATAGATTCATAGACTTTAAGGCCAGAAGGGACCATCATGATCATCTAGTCTGACCTCTTGCACATTGCAGGCCACAGAACCTCACCCACCCCACTCCTGTAAAAGACCTGTAACCTCTGGCTGAGTTACTGAAGTCCTAAAATCATGATTTAAAGACTTCAAGTTATAGAGAATCCACCATTTACACTAGTTTAAACCTGCAAGTGACCTGTGCTCCATGCTGCAGAAGAAGATGAACCCCGCCCCCCCCAGGATCTCTTCCTATCTGATCTGGGGGGAAATTCCTTCCTGACCTCAAATATGACAACCAGTTAGACCTGAGCAGGTGGGCAAGAACCAACAGCCAGAAACTTGGGAAAGAATTATCTGTAATAACTCAGAGCCCTCCCCATCTGGTGTCCCATCACCGGCCATTGGAGAGATTTGCCACTAGCAGTCGCAGATCGGCTACATGCCATTGTAGGTAGTCCCACCATACCAGCCCCTCCACAAACTTATCAAGCTCAGTCTTGAAGCCAGTTAGGTTTTTTGCCCCCACTACTCTTTTTGGAAGGCTGTTCCAGAACTTCACTCCTCTGGTGGAGGAATCAAAATGGTTATCGGTCTGGTCCATGGGAACTTACAACAAAACCCTGGGCAGATCCAAGGCTGTTCGGTAGCACAAAGAATTCCTTTCGACTATAATACAATAGAGTGTCTTTTGGATCTGGCCAAAGAAAGTAAATAGACTACACCCCAAATACCTGCCATCCCACAATCTTTTTAGTTTGTAAACTACTATGTGGGCACCGTTGTTGTATGTGAACTCTCAATGCAAAATTCTAATATAGGATATGGCCCAAGGATGAATGTGTGTATGTGCGTGTGAGTACAGGTATTAAATGTTCTTCCCTTTCAGCCCTCCCTGCATGTTGTTTTGCATTCCTGGTCCTGCTTTTCATCTGTACAGGGCGATGCTCTTCAGCGTTTGTGAAAGGAAATAAGCTTCATTTCCCATCTGCTGTAACCTGGCAAGTTTCAGCCACCGTTACTAGAGTCAGGTATTCCTTGATAGCACTTGGGAATAGCTTCCGAACGATTATCTCTCCACTGGGGAGCAGCCAGACACTGGATGGCAGGATTGGGACAGTGTCTTGGTGAAGGGACTGGGAGCTTGATCGTGCAAAGGGCTGATTATTCAGCTGAGGTGCTGAATGTCCTCAGCGCCTCTTGACTTCAGCCAGCATCAGGGGCACTTGGCACCTTGCAGGATTGAACTCTGGGTGGGGATGTGACCAGACATTCATCTCTTTGGAGTGAAAGGAGCCATCAGCCATGTTATTAACGGTTAGCCCAGTCCCTGTTTGGTTCTTTCCTAGTGCAGTAACTCACTCAGAAGCTGCTCAGACTGTGTTTCAGCACGGCCTGCATCGCATCCTGGTATGACTTATGGCTCCATTTTCCCATCAGCCCTTGGCAGTGAGTTAAAACCCTCCTGGAGGCCATGCAACTGCTTTATAACTCCTTTAAAGAGGAATGTTCAGAAATCAAACTGCAGGGAAAGGGCTCTTTAAAGGTCTTGGAGAGTAAATGCCTCACAGGCTAATACTGTGCAAATGCAAATCAGCCTCAGTTTTGCTGTAACCTCCGAGACCTTCTTTATGGAACATAGGGCTTGATTAGTCTTCATGTAATTTTTGAGCACTAATAATGTCTGTTTGAGGCCTTTGTTGAGAAGTGTGTAGCATTAATTTAGTGGAGTAAAAACATCAAACTAGGATCTCTTGCAAAAGTTCAACTAAATGAAGGTTCTGAATCTTTGTTCAAAGCCTTTTATCTAGTGCCTGCCCTGGTCTCATTAGCCTGGACAATAACACTTGCACTTTCCTACACACACTTTTTTACAACTTCAAAACGCTTCCTACATATTAACGAATAAATTTCCACAATGCCCCCGTGAGATACTGTAGGTAAGTAAGGGTAGTGTCACCCATCTAAGAAGTGGGTAGCAGATGTCAGGGCCTTGCAGGTTGGCTTCCCATGCGAGGAGAAAATCAGCAATGTGGAGCCTGAATATATTCTTAGTTTAAATTGTTTTATTTACACTACACACAGTAGTCCTTGAACAGAGGCAGTCACAAACAACATGCGGTGAATCTCTTCTTCCAAAAATCTAAGCCCAGCTCCAACGCCTCATTCCCAGGAAGCAATTCTGCTTGAAGAATTGACTCTAATTGGAGAAATCAAGGCAAGGAGAAAACTTGATTGCTGTTTGCAACAGCTCCACAGAAAGAAATTACATCACCACACTAACAACAATGCTGCTTTTCTTCCAGAAATGTACAGTGCTCGAACACTAAGGAAAAGAACTCTGGAAACAATATGTAATAGCGCCATCTGTTGATTCCCTCCATCATATTGTACAGATGGTGAAAATAAGGCACAGAGATGTTATCCAAGGCCACAGAGAGAAACAGTGGCAGAGATGGGACTGGAAATTAGGTGTTTGTGCCTCTGAGACCTCATGCTTAGCCCAATAGATCCAATGGCCTCTGATAAAGGATATTTTTATTTACCCTTGGCAAGGGGATAGGAGGAAGAATGGGGACAAGAGGCTCTGCCCAGGGACAGAGAGAGTGCTATGCATTACTGTTGAGTGATACGTTCTCCAGCTGATCCAGGAGCAGTATTGACAGGAGCTGTATCCAGTCCTTGTTGGCTGAAAGGGTGGATTGGTTTGATGTGAGGACTCTGAGGAGCGAAGCAGGTGCAGGGAATCCTAGATGACCTGTGTCTACTAAAACAACCCCTTTCTTGCATTCACACAACACCTTTCCTCAGGAACCCCAGAATCCACCATTGCCACTCTGTGCGACCACATCATTTACACGTTAGGAGGTTATGGGAATGGTCACTGAGCGCTTTGTGCTTACTCACTGCTGCTTGGGTGGGGCTTCTTTTCCTGCCCTGCAGGTTTGCTAAGATGAAATTCAAAGATGTGACTTTTGAGGACATGCTGTTTGAGGAATGCTATTTTGAAGATGTGACATCCACCGAGACCGTCTTCAAAAACTGCACCATTTTAGCCACTGTCTTCTATAACACTGGTAAGGGGATTCCTGGCTTGGTCTAGCCCAGAAGTGGGCAAACTACAGCCCGCGGGCCACATCTGGCCCGCAGCACCCTCCTGCCCGGCCCCCGAGCTCCTGGCCCGGGAGGCTACCCCCGGCCCCTCCCCTGCTGTTCCCCCTCCCCCGCAGCCTCACCTTGCCGCGCTGCCAGCACAATGCTCTGGGCGGCAGGGCTGCGAGCTCCTGGGTTAGCGCAGCTGAAGAGTCCAGCCTGACCTGGTGCTCTGTGCTGTGCGGTGGCGCCGGTGTGGCCAGCCACCAGTGCTCCAGGCAGCGTGGTAAGGGAGCAGGGAGCAGGGGGGTTGGACAGAGGACAGGAGAGTTCAGGGGGGTGGCCAGGGGGCGGGGATGTGGATAGGGGTCAGGGCAGTCAGAGGGCGGGGAACAGGGGTGTTGAATGGGGGTAGGGGTTCTGGGGGAGCAGTCAGGAATGAGCGGAGGGGTTGGATGGAGCGGCGGGGGGCAGTCAGGGGCAGGGGTTCTGGAGGCAGTCAGGGGACAGGGAGAAGGGGTGGTTGGATGGGGCAGGGGTCCCGGGGGGGCCGTCAGGAATAAGAGGGGGGGTTGGATGGGCTGGCGGGGGGCAGTCAGGGGCAGGGGTTACGGAGGCAATCAGGGGATAGGGAGAAGGGGTGGTTGGATGGGGCAGGGGTCCTGGGGGGGGCCGTCAGGGAACAGGGGGGTTGGATGGGGCAGGAGTCCCGAGGGGGGGCAGATAAGCGGTGGGGGCCGGGCCACGACCTCCTCCCCTAACCAGCCCTCCATACAATTTCCAAACCCGATGCACCCCCAGGCCAAAAAGTTTGCCCGCCCCTGGTCTAGGCTGTGGAACAATGTGCACGTCTGATTTGTGGTGAACGGTTTGTAGTGGGGCTATAGAAATGCGTGTGTTGTGCTGTGACAGTGATCAGGGAATAAGAAGGGGGAAGTCAAACAAGAGACCAATTGTGGTGTTAGCTCTATGACTATGGTGAACTTCTGTAGAACCAGGTCTACATGCTACACTTGCCTTAAAATGTAAGGTGAACTAGAATTTTCCCATCTTTCCAGACCTGAGCTTACCAGTCCATGCACATATGTGTCTGAGTCACAAAATTTACATTGAGATCAGGATTTTGCCAGCGATTAAGACTGCTCCCATCTGCAGCTTCCGTCTCATCTTTAGTTTCAGGTAACACTTGGTGAGGGACTTAGGGCAGATCAGACAGCTGTATTCCCAGCCTTCCTTAATTGCACTGCTTATGGTGTCATTGACTGTTGCAGCAGAAACCCAGAAAAAATGAATTCAGACCTTGGCAAGTTAAAGTAACAGAAGAACTGATTCAACAAGTTTGGCTTAAAATAGTCATTTTTCAGCCCATATCCAGCTTCTGGTTTGGGATCTCAAGCAGCTTAACTAATTTAATTCATTCATTTATTCAATTTGAAAGAGCTTTTCACTTCCCCTTTAACTGAAAATAAACCACTGGACGATGAAAATTGCAGCCTGTAGCACCAGCTCCTGGGCTATTGCTCATCATTGGTTGAAATGCCAATCAATTAGGGCCAAATTATGGCTGCTCCGGCAGGGGTGCATTAAAATGGTGCTCCTCTTCCCTTTAGTGCAGAAGGCAGGCATAATGCTGTAGCCAGCACTCCCCAGGCACTGGAGGGTATGGAGATGATCGACACTGAAGAAGCCAGATAAGGCAGTTTGGGTGTATGTACACGACCCCGTTCCCTGCATATCAGTTAATGCAAGAAGGTGCACAGGCTTATATCTGTTCTATGTGTGTTGCATACAGTGGCCTTTCACATAGTATGCCTGCGTCTGGCTTCTCAGGCATAATGCCTCCAGCTACCTCCACTCAGGCAGGGAACACCTTTCCAATCCGGTGTGCCTCCATCGAAACCGAGCTCCGAGAATGTACCCTTATTCCCAGCTGCTGTTGCTGCTGCTACACGGAGGGTCCAACCTTTGCCTCTTGCCTTCTCAGATCTTTATGAAGACAAATTCATCGAGTGCAGGTTTATAAACGTCACCTTCCTGGACCAGAAGGAGGGATGTCACTTGGACTTCGAGCAGGAAAACGACTTCCTAATTTATCTCGTCAGTTTCCTGGGTAGTTTGTCCGTGTTGCCTGGCAACATCATCTCAGCACTGCTCATGGACAAAATAGGAAGGATAAAGATGATTGGTGAGTGAAGGTGATGGTCAACTGACACATCAGCAGCTGGGTGCGTGGATGACCCAGGGCATAATAAAGGGATATTGTGAATACAAAGGTCTCTCTGTTTCTGTGCGCACAAATGAAAAATGGTCCGGCTAAGCATGCGATGAGTCACTCCAATACCAAATAAAGCAGAGGAGTCGATGGTTCAGTGGGTAGGGCACTAGATGAGGACTCAGGGCATCTGGGTCCTATTTCATAGATTCCTAGATTCTAAGGCCAGAAGGGACCATTGTGATCATCTAGTTGGACCTCTTGTGTTACACAGGCCATAGAAACGTATGGCTCTGCAACTGACCCGCTGTAATAACGTGCACAGGTCACTCCCCCTCTCTGTGCATCTCTACTCCCACCTTTTATGTATTTTGTTTATTTAGACTGTCAGCTCTTCATGGCAAGGGTTGTCTCTCACTCTGGGTTTGTCCAGTACCTAGCACAATAGGGCTCTGGTCTTAGTTGGGACCTCTAGGCATGGTTGTGTTGATGGTGATGCTGATGCCTGTATCATCCTTTGTGGTAGAGAAGAGACATAGCTCATTAGTAATTGATATAAAAAGAGATTCTTTACTATGGCTGTTGGACACAGAGAGGACCCTATAATTCTCGCTCAGGGCCTCAAGATCCCAAATTGAATAAACTCAGATTGTGCCTAAATCCTGGCCTGGATCAAGCATCCATGGGCTGGATTATTGATTATGCTACATGCTGATAAAAGTGTCACCTTCTTGTCTTGCGGGACTAAATCCTCATTTTATGTGACTGATACATATACAAGGATTTTCTGAGGTTGTTTCACAAAGTGGCCAGGTAACTCATCTAGTCCCAGTATAGCTTCACGGCACAGTGGGATGGCGACACCAAACTGTATCAACGTCAAAGTGAATTCAGAGTTCTTGTAATGGACATGGGACATGCCCAACCAAACCAAAAGTGTCCTATGGAAAAATTGGGATAGCTGGCAAATGTTAGAGCTAAATAAAAATCAGAATTTCCTTACTGCAGGAAATTCTGATTGTTCAACATTTCTTTTCATCCCAAAGTGGGACAAAAGGTTAAACTATTGAAACTTTTCACAGAATGAAAAGTTCTGAAAAAAATTCAATTTGGAAAAAAAACACCACATTTTGTTTTGGCATTTTTGATCAAAACAAAACATTTTGATATGCCCAAGCTGAAATATTTCATTGTGGTTTGTTGAACTGATCCAAAATACTTCATTTCCAATCAGTTCAACATTAAACTGCATTTCCCTGTAATGGTACATGGCTTCATGAGAGCTTTAGTTCAGGTTGCCTGAAGCCCCTATTATCCCCCATGGGCTATGCTCCCTGACCAACATCTCCTATGATATACCCCAAGTTATGCGACTCTCATGATGCACCACGTCACTTAGTCAGAGGAATGTGTTGCATTGTGGGAGATGTAGTCTGGCCAGCCCATAGGAAAGAAAGGGGACCCAAACTATGATTCCCATGAGGCAACGTGCCACAATAAGGAAATTCAGTTTTATGTTGAACTGACCTAAAATGAAACATTTAGTGTCAGTTCAACAGTTCAAAATATTTTGATTCAGTCAAACTGACCCAAAACAAAATACTTGCTTTTGGTTTTCCTGACAGGAAATAGAAACATTGGAAAATCATCCCAAGGGGAAATTCCCAGCTAGCTCTTGCAAATATTAACAGTGTAGACCCTAGATCAGTGAGCCTGAATTGAGGCTAATGAACCATGAATGTTCTCACTTTCTCCCTTGGGCTTGTGCATAAAATGTGTCAGGCAGTCGAATAACATTTTAACTGTATAAAGCACTTGGGGTATCCCTTAATTATAGACGGCAAATTAATCCTGAGACTACGGATGAGCCAGGTGATTTGAATGCAATATACCAGCCCTAACGCCTCACCCAAAACTCAAACCATTTTTCAGCTTCAGCAACCTTCAGACAACTCTTCCCATTCACCGATGTTCATGTTTTCTTGCTTCGGCTCGTCCTGGGTCCAGCTGCAATACCACACGAGAGAGCCCACGTTTGTGGTATCTGCAGGGTGAGACTATTGGTGACATCAGCCTAGTACCAGGAGATTTCCAACCTGTTTCCTGGCCCCAACGAGCTAGACAGAATCATTTGGATGCTGAGTTGAATCTTGTGGAGATCACTCCTCTCTAGGGAGAAAATCCATCATCTGAAGACTCTTCTTATTAATGGTGGATTTGGCTGCCCGGAGATGCCAAGAGAATGATGCCAAGTGTTTTCTCCTTACTTCCCCGGCAGGTGGCTCAATGCTGATTTCTGCAGTGTGCTGCTTCTTTCTGTTCTTTGGCAATAGTGAGTCTGCGATGATTGGCTTGCAGTGTCTGTTCTGCGGGGCCAGCATTGCTGCCTGGAATGCCCTGGACGTGATCACCGTGGAGCTCTATCCCACCAGTAAACGGTAACTATGCTGAGAATATTCTTATCTTGGATTTTTATTCTCTGACTTCAGGCACAGCCACTCTCATCTTAAGAGCCCATTACTGAGTTAAAACATATGTGATGGAAGGTTTTTTTTTAAATAAATCTCACGGGTCCTACTGTTCCTGTGTATACTTTTGATCTGCACAGGTATTCAGAAGTAGAAGTGGGCAAACAACTGATTTTTTGGTTTGGTGGCAGTTCTGGGAGGAAAAAAGAATCAGAAAACCCCCAAACAGTTTGGGTCTAAATGAATCTAAAGATATTCAGAACTGGGAGTGAATCAAAGAAAAGCCCATTTGGGGTCTGTTCTGGGGGAGGCAGGGAGGAGTTGAAAGTGGGTCTCCTACATCTCTGGTAAGTGCCCTATTCACTGGGCTAAAGGTGATGTGGAGATGCAGATTAGGGGAGTGGTACCACCTCCTCTTCCTCTGGCCATTTTGTGAATGGCCAAAACGATTTGTGTCAAGTTCACAAATATTTTCCAGTTGATCCAAACTGCATTTTCTATCCAATAAACTGTTTTCTGAAAAACTTCGCCCAGCTCTATTCTACATGTAATATAACTTGCGTACATGAATTTGCACAGGCAAGCGTAAATTACGCACAGACAGAACTTGTATAGGAAGACTCTGTCAATTGCATGCATGTGATTAGAGGACAGGTTGAAGCCCCTTTGGAAATGTGTCCTCCAGTCTCTTGTCACGGTGTACCACTCCTGGTTATTTTAGCTTCCAGTTCTTGCAGACAACCCATAAAGATGTGGATGTGGGAAATGAGGCACCGTATTCAGGTTTCAGGAGTGAGCTTTTGAGAGAAGAGGATAGTGACAAGTCTCTTCTGCCCTTTTCAATCTATTGATGACAGCTGTGAGGGAGGTACTGGGATTGCGCTGGGACAGCACCGGGCTCAGCTGCTGGGTGAATCAGGGTGTGGGGGAGCACTCTGTGACTCTCCAGCCACCACCCACTCTAACCAGCACGTGGAGTGACTTTGACAAGCTCTAGAGGAAGCCGTGTTCATGGCTTTATGTCCACAACAAAACTTTATCCATGACGTGAACTCAGTGCTTTATTTGTAATGAACGAGGTGCCAGCACTCAAGCAATTAGGTGCCGGGACTCAAGCAACTTTTTTACTTTCATAAGTAATGCAGCAAGTCCAGAGGTGCCAGGGCTCTGAACTGCCAAGCCCAGAGGTGTTGGGGCTCTGAACTGCCAAGCCCAGAGGTGCCGGGGCTCGAACTGCCAAGCCCAGAGGTATCGGCACAAATTGTGGGGCACAAATTAAGCACTCCACGAAGTCCAAGAGATGGTGGTGTGGAAATAAATAAGGCCTGCCAAATACACCCTGCTGCCTTTGCCCTCCCAGAAAGCCCAGGGGCATTCATTCAGTCTGGCTCCAGTTACTTGCTGGGAGCATAGACTCCGCATATCAGATCAGACTGTTGGTCTACTCAGCCTGCCATCCTGACACCTGCAGTGGCCAGTATGTGATTTTTCAAAGGAAATTGGACACTCCACGACATGCACCTGAGCAAATGTTCAAGTCTGCACTTGTGGGGATGGGGAAATTCTTTTTTGACAATTGCAGGCGAACAGCGTGGGCTCTGATGCATGAGGTTTCATTAACTTCCATAGCTCAAATCAGGATTCATTAAGAGCGTAACCATTACCACAGTGGATGCCGGCAGTCATCCTATAATTAGCATAGGAACTGCTAGTATTAGAGGACTCATGCAATGACCCAACTCTCCTTTAGTGATGGAGGAACCAACCAAATAACCCGCAGTCCTGTCTGACTCCTAATCATCACTTTCTGCTCTTCCTCTCCTGCAGATCAACAGCCTTTGGCATCCTCAACGGTCTCTGCAAGTTTGGTGCCATCCTGGGGAACTCTATCTTTGCTTCCTTTGTCGGGATAACCAAAGTGGTTCCCATCCTTCTGGCCTCCTCTGTGCTGGTTGCGGGAGGCCTGCTAGCCCTGAGGCTACCAGAGACTCGAGAACAGGTCCTGATGTGAGCAATTGGGCAGCAGGGAAATGAAGAAGAGCTACAAAAAAGAGCCATGTCTAGAAAAATTAAAATGTCCATTTATCCTTTGCTGCTGATACCTCAGCTATTGGGAGCGGGGGGAACAACCCCTAATTTAAGATCACCTCCCATCCATGATTGGCTCTTTGCAACCAGGGTACATACACACTGCAGAACTTTGCTCATTTGCTTTAGATCCAACCCACGCTGGGGAGAGACTGAGGATCTGTCCTTCCCGGGTATGCATGGGCATAACTGACACAAAATATTAACAGCAGCATTGTGTGTGCAGGCATCAAAGGGGAGAACAGATTCAAACCCTTATATGCCCTAGGTGAGTTGCAAGAAAACATCTGCATTTCCGAGCTGTTTCAGGCAATTAGCACAAGCTGTCCTGGCTTGCAAAAGAACTGGAAGATAGTTAACAAACCAACTCTGCTGAGGTTAGGTCTAGCTTTGGGGTCAAGATTTCCAAAAATGACTAGTGATATGGAATATCTTGATTTTGGGGGGCCCAAGTTGAGACACCTTGCAGGGGCCTGATTTTTTAGAAGGTAAGTGCTCAGTGCTGTCTGAAAATCAGACCCCTTTATATTATCTCTAGTTGGGCACCAAGAATCACTAGTCATGTTCTTGATCTGGGATATTTTTTAAATAAAAAATATATCCTATTTCAATTTCTAATTTTAAATCTCTATATTGTTCTCATCAAGAAGAATCTAAAACTAAAACAAAACTAAAACCAAGTCCCACTAATGCAAGACATCCAGAGCAATCCCTAGGAAGAGACATGTCATTCTTGTCCAGTCAATAGTTCTTTAATGGTGTTGATTTTAGGATATTTCTATAATAGGGATTTTTTTCTGCCTAGTTCTGTTTAAGAGAAATTGGCATGATGTTGGGGATTCTGCAAACCAAATGTGTATATATTATGCAGTGTAAATAGGGGACAATTTTTGTTTAAAGTCTAGAGTATGGTAACTACTAGAATTTACCAGCATTTTAGCCATATTAGTTAAGGAAAATGATGTTTGAGTTTCCTATAGATTTGGGTCTTATTGAAGCACTGTAAGCACAATTACTGTATTTATAGCCTTGTAACCTGATGTCTAGAGAATGCACTTAGTAAACTTTCATTGTACAGTACATTTAATTGTCTGATAAGTGGAATAATTAAGTTTTAAATCCTGTAAAGATCATTCTTGGAATTCCTATATTCCTCATGATATGACTTTGGCTTTGCCACACAACTAGACACAAAGTGATACTTTACAGTAGAATCTCAGAGTTACAAACTGACCGGTCAATCACATACCTCATTTGGAACCGGAAGTACGCGATGAGACAGCAGAGACAAAAAAAAATGCAACTACTGTACAGTACAATACTGTTGTTAAACGTAAACTATTAAAAAAAGGGGAAAGTTTAAAAAAGAGATTTGACGAGGTAAGGGTATGTTTCATTGAAATTAAGATGGTTAAAAGCAGCATTTTTTATTCTGCATAGTAAAGTTTCAAAGCTGTATTAAGTCAACGTTCAGTTGTAAACGTTTGAAAGGACAACATAATGTTGTGTTCAGAGTTATGAACAATGTCCGTTCCCGAGGTGTTCGTAACTCTGAGGTTCTACTATGCATGTTCAGTTGCATTTTTGGATATATTTTTTGGAAGCAAGAATGAAAGGCAAAAAAATAAACAATCTTCCACTGCTCTTGACAATATAGATAATGTTAATCAGACCGTTAGCAGGCACAGAGGCTGGCTGACATCTAATGGGAACCGATGAGTGACGGGAAATTTGTGTCACTATGACAGTTGGTGACATAAAAAGCTGTTTGGTACTATTGCCACTGTCGGGTTTGATGGAGAAGTGGTACAGTGCAAAGGAAAACCAAGGTTCCCATATGTGCTTTTAAAAATCACTGGTTCACATTTGAATCCAAGCTGAAATTTGACAAAATCCACAGGGATTTCCCATTTACACAACACGGCAGCAGTGAAATGAGTTATAATGGCACAGTTACCATGCAATGATGCATCTTACTACTAGGGAAGATCACTAATTTGGCTAACAGATCACTAGACACTCACATGCTGATTGGATTCTGGAGTTATGTGGATCACTTGCTCTTTCTTTCCTCATCCACCCACTGAGTTGAACTGCTCTGTCCATGTGCTCCCTCTCCTCTTTCATGACCTTCAAAAGCCATATTGATCTCCCCCGCTGGGTTCCCTGCCTTTAAGGATAGGAAAGAGGCCACTCTGAATCCCCTATACCTGGGGTTAAAGACTTTGAAGTCTAACTCCTCCGCTGCACAGAGGCAGTTATATATAAGCAGTAACTCACATTAATATTGTTCCCTAATAGCTGCGGGATTCATTCATGGCACCACTGTCAGGAGTATATTTTCTACAGTAGAAGTATACAGAGTATATGTAAATGATTGGAAGCAAATGTTTCTGTGACTCCTTGCCCCGACACTAAATCTCCATTGGGTTTCACTGTTCTGTGGTCGTCTCAAGCAAGAAAATTGCAATAAGTAATTGTGAAGCTCCCAGGTTACAACTGGCTATGGATTTTTCAGATTTAGGTTGAGGCTTATGAAAGTGACAAAATCATGAGCTGCTGTAATAATTCTAGGCTTCTTATGCCTCCTGTCTTCAATTTATGGATAGCTTTGAGTTTGAACCCTTCTCTACTAGTCTTCAAAAGGGCTAGGTCCAGCTTTCTTTATGCACATCACACGGTCCCTCGGAAAGGCTGAAGCTAATGCTGCTATGTCCTTTTAAATATGGCAACAGTACACGGGCACCTCCTTAACCCCTTCGCTGCTGCTGAGGATTGTGTCCCAGAAAGCAGTGTTCCTATCCTTTCCCACTGCTGGAGGGATCATAGAATATCAGGATTGGAAGGGACCTCAAGAGGTCATCTAGTCCAACCCCCTGGTCAAAGCAGGACCAACACCAACTAAATCATCCCAGACAGGGCTTTGTCAAGCCTGACCTTAAATATGTACTTCAGCGCTGAAGAGATCACAGACTTTCTTGTGATTAAACCACTATCAGGGTGACTTACTCCATTTGTCCCAGTGTATTTGGGGAGAATGTTTCATGTTCTGGGCAATTGTGTTGCATGACTCTGTGATGTAGAGGTCATCTTTATTAATTTTACTAAGCATTGTTAGTCAGATAAGTGTGTAGCGGTGGGACATTCAAAAGTACTAACCTGACCCGATTGTGTTCTGCACTGATTTTGTACGACTGTAGCCACGGTGTTTATGTTGAAAAACCCATCAATTCGCTTCTCAGGAGGCAGAAACTGAGATCTTCAGTGATTAGAGATGGGGAAGTAGGAGATGGTCACTGAAACTTTAGAAGCCTTTCTTCTTCCGGGGATTAATCTTCCCCAGAGTCTGCATGGTGAAAGTTTGGATTCCAGAGGTTTGTGGGGACAAAATACTAAGCAGTAGACAGTGGGTATCAGGCTTACACTAGCCAGGGGCATCAGCTAGATGATATAATATGCCGGTTGCAACTCTAATGTCTATGAATCAATCACTCAGAGGTGCACAGGATGCATCTTGATGGATAGTACAGTCCTTGTCTGTGAACTTTGGACGAGGAGTTCACCAGCCCAGTTCTAACATGAGAGCTTAGACACACACTGCATCTGATAGCTAATATCACAGTGCTAGGGATATAACAAAGACTGTAGCATGGGGGAATAAAACCCAGCTTGTTCTTATTACAGAGATCTGTCAAATCCCTAAATACACCCTCAACACATCCCGTTTTTTGTTCACCTGCAGCCCAATTAGCTCCCTGTAAAGCTGCACCCAATCATCCAGTGATTTTATCCTCACCCTACTGCAAGGATTGGCAACCTTTGGCACGTGGCCCATCAGGGAAAGCCCCTGGCCAGTTTGTTTACCTGCAGTGTCTGCAGGTTCAGCCAATCGCAGCTCCCACTGGTGCAGGTTCGCCGTCCCAGGCCGTTTAGAGCTGTCTAAACTTGTGTTTCTCTGTAAATAATATCCAGTGTGGTACATTTAATGGAATGTTTCATGTAGATGTTCTCTCAGCTGACTCTGTATGTGTGAAATGGCCAATTCCATTTCCTTGGTTTCTTTTCTTTCTTTTTTAAAATTTTTTGGTTTGATCCGTGTCTGACTGTCACTGGAAAATGGAGTCATTGCAATGGACTTTGTTTTTGTTCTGTCACATTAAAATCTGGAAGAAATAAAACAATTCTTGCTGTGTCCATGCATCAATGTATAGCTCGCCTTCTTCTACTGGGGTTGTAGCTGCTGACCTTTCACCTCAAAAATAAGGGTCTTCATTTGATGTAGGATACCTGTATCCTCCCTGCCAATCCCAACTTGATTAAGTCTCATTCCTACCACTCTTTTGTCAGGCCTCATACTTTCTAATGTACTGTACAGAAAACCTCTCGTTTTGAAAGCAACCGATGGAGAGGGCACCCAACAAAAACAATGACCTCCAGACACAGCTAAATTGTGTCTTCTTGTAAGAAAATACCTCATAAATGAACATTTCTCTTTATAAGCCAGCCACATATCCAGGTCAATATACAACTCAGATTTTACCCAATAATCACACTGTTGCCAATCCTTTAATATCTAAAATCTAAAGGTTTATTTAAAGAAAGAAAGAAAGAAAGAAAGAAAGAATGATGAGTGTTAAAATTGGTTAAAGGAATCAGATATGTACTACAGTTGCAAAGTTCTTGGATCAGGCTTGTAGCAGTGATGGAATAAACTGCTGGCTTAAACTCTGGTTGCCTCCAAATCACTGGAATGTCCTCAGTGCCTTGGTTAGAATGCTCCCATTAGTGTAAGTCCATAGTCCAGAGGTTTGAGCAGGAAAGAGGAAAAATGGAGATATTTTCAGGGCCTTTTATAGCTTCTCTCAGGTGAAGGGAAACCCATTGTTCTCACTGTGGAAAAGTACAGGTAGCAAGATGGTGTTTGGGGTCACATGGGCAAGTCACATGTCCATGCCTGATTTCGCTTAGTCACAGCAGAAGACATTACCTATATTCCAGATGGAATGTTCACAGGAAAGTTTATTAAGTGTAGCTATCCCAGGGTCCATTGCGAGTTAAGTGTTCCTTGATGAGCCATTTAACTTGAATAGTACCTTCAAGATGTGCAGGCTAAATACCTTGTGGGTGCTACCCAGAAGCAAACATTTGAAATACAGGTACAGAGCCAATACTCATAACTTCAAATATAAAAACAATACATGCATATAAATAGCATAATCATATTCAGCAAATCATAACTTTTCAATTGACACCTTACTTGACCCACTTTGTATAAGATTTATTGCAATTATATAACAGTGGTAGCAACAATGATCTACATGGTCATATTTTAATCAGCTAACGTCACAACCATCAATCTAAAACAAAGCTAACACACACACCTCAATATTGCCATGGAGTCATCCATATTTTCCACCTGTAATTATATGTAGACGTGGTTTAGGACATGCAGATATCTAAATATTCAACTGTGCTTGCAAATCAGGTATGTAGACATCTAAGTGACATTTTCAGACTCAATTAATGGCTTTCTGTGCAAAAAAGGAGGCCAGATACTGGAGGACACAGAGTTGTAGACAGACTAACACATAGTATATATGTGTACATAAACACTGAAGCCGTATAAATTTATTATTCATCACAGAGCCCCATAACTGTAGAGGTACTTGCCCTAAGGAGCTTACAATCGAATTAAAAGAACATGTGCTACATGGGACAACAATTATGCACAAGGCAGCATGGAGATATCATCCACATGGAGATCAGAGCAGGAAGTCTGAAAAATAAGTGGGGCTCAAGCATAGATTTGAGCTATATCTACTATATAGGATGGAGTGCCAGGCCTGCCGCACAAAGTTCAGTTCTGGACATAGACTTCAGTGAAGTTCAGAGGGACTTGGACCCAGGGTTTGATTTTGAACCATCTCTCATGTGGTGCTAATGAATTTAGTGTTGCTGAAAGATGCTACACTGAGTGTTCAAGTTCTCTAGCTACAGAACAGGTGCAACAACCTAAAGTGAATCAGAGAAACATTCAAGGACAAAGAAACATAACACCTTGAAACTGGAATTAATGAAACAAAGAGAGGTTTCAGAGTAACAGCCGTGTTAGTCTGTATCCGCAAAAAGAAGAACAGGAGTACTTGTGGCACCTTAGAGACTAACACATTTATTAGTTATTATTTATTAGTTTATTTATTAATAAATGTGTTAGTCTCTAAGGTGCCACAAGTACTCCTGTTCTTCTTTTTGTGAAACAAAGAGGTCACTCCAGCTCCATTGGTAAGACAACTTTCCTAATCTGAGACTTACCCAGGTGCCTCAGCCTCCCGGTGGACTGCAGTTCTATGAGGTGAACCAAAGCGAGCATTTTTCCCTAGGGTGCTTAACCTGGCGAGCCGCGTGCCAAACGTTGCCAACCCCTGGTCTAAACCATATACCTGAACTGTGAGGTGGTTTGAAACTGGAAACTAAATCTGGATCAAGATTATTGGGAAGCAGTCCCTTTTTTATTAGTGGCCTCGGATTTTAACTCCCCTCTACTATGGAAATTTCAAAGTTGAGACCAGCTTCCAAATTTTGCAATTTTGAGTTTCTGTTTAAAAAGCTGGAAAGGGAGAATGATTGGCTCAGAGAATTGGCAATAGGAGACAGAGTCCTTGATTTTGAAGTTGTTGGCTGAAACTGAGCCCAATTTGGTAGCAATAAAAATCCTTGCCATGTGAGGGCTGTTCAGAGGTCTACAGGAAATTAGTTTGTATTTCTCAGTGCAGTTCCTAGTGAGCAGGTGTCTATAACAAAAGAACTGATCAAGTGATTTGCAACAGAAGCATTTTTTCTGCCACCTTCAATGCACTGAGTGGATTTACAGCACATTATGATAATAATATTTATATAGCAGTTTACATTTTTAAAGCACAGTGCAAAAATTAACCAACTACTACTTACATCTCAAAAGTTATAATTCAACTGGAGAACAGTTTATTCTGTAGCACCTGCTTGGCCTGTTATAGTAAATAAAGGCCATATATATTTGTACACACATATACACATGGGCTAAACCAGGGGTCGGCAATGTTTGGCAGGCAGCTCACCAGGGTAAGCACCCTGGCGGGCCGGGCCAGTTTATTTACCTGCTGACGTGTCTGGTTCGGCCGATCACGGTCCCCACTCGCCGCGGTTCGCCAATGGAGGCGGCAGGAAGCGGCGCAGGCAAGGGATGTGCCGGCTGCGGCTTCCCGCTGCCCCCATTGGCCCGGGACGGCGAACTGCGGCCAGTGGGGGCCGCGATCGGCCGAACCTGCCGCGTCAGCAGGTAAATAAACTGGCCCGGCCCACCAGGGTGCGAGCCGTGTGCCAAACGTTGCCGACCCCTGGGCTAAACTATAACAGACTATTCCATTTTGTCTCTGCTGATTTTCTCTCAAATTCTTCCCCATCTTGCCTCTGAAATAATTTGTCTTTTTGGTACCACTAGATGGCAGCACATACACACAAAATAGACTTCTGCTGGCCTACGAACAAAGATCAGAGAAAAGTTGTCTTCTTCTTCTATGTATTATGTGGAAGCTCCCAGGACCTCTAGTCATGGGACAGGAACTCATTGTGCTAGGCACTGTACAAACAGAAGAAAAAGTCAGAAATATGCCAATATCATTTAATGTGGAAGGATGGAATTCGGAGGGAACAGGCTGAGAAGGGTAACCTATTGGTGGAGTTAATGCTGCTGTCTCTATGCTGCCACCTGGACTTGCAGAGGAAACTAGTAGGAGGATTTTTGTCCATTTCTCTATGATTATTCTCTTTAACTGGTTCATCTCTTTTCCTTTTCTGGTTCCGTTTTTCCTTTGTAACTCACCCTCAAACACCCATTTTGGCAGCAGGAGTGACACTCTCCCACCCGCCACTAGGGTGACCAGACAGCAAATGTGAAAAATCGGGACGGGGGTAGGGGGTAATAGAAGCCTATATAAGAAAAAGACCCAAAAATCGGGACTGTCCCTATAAAATCGGGACATCTGGTCACCCTACCCGCCATAAAGGATGTGTGTGTGGGTGCATGCGCACAGAGAAGTGGGTTGTGGGAGGGAAATAATGGGACTTGCAGCCATACTACGTGGCATAACAGAAGCAGAAGGACTCAGCCCAGGAGGCCAGATCATGCCCTATGGATCTCATCCTCCCTATACAGCTTGCCCTGTCTCTGAACCCCCGGCATGCCCTTGGTCTCATGGTGAAATTGCCAATGACAGTATTAACTCCTGAGCAGATTTCCTCCGTGCTTTTGACCGTCCCCTTAAGGGAGAGCTCCATGAGGTAATACCCACTGCGTAAGCCATGTTGCCCCCAGCTGACAGGAGCTATGGTGACTGGGACCTGGGAAGAGACCTCATTGGGCAGGAGCAGCTCAGAAGCTCAGGGTCTCCTAGTAGATAACCCTGGTCAGAAGCCCTGAGAACCACCCACAGCTCAAGGGATCAGTGATATTTGATTAGGCGAATATCCTGCTTCTTCCATGCTGGGCCCACCTCTACCCTGATGGAAGAATTTGCTGGGAAGTCCACAGGAGAATCTCACAGAGCTTTCTCCATCTTGCCTTCTCCTAGGTTTTCCTGCCTAAGGAATTTTTGGCTTTCGAGGGGTGATTTTTCTTTCAGTGCCCACATAATTTTCCCTCTTCAGCCAAGGTGTCTCCGTTGGTTCAGTAACCACTGGAGATCCCTGTCAAAGTTGAGCTTGTAAACGCAGCAAGCTGATCTGCAGCGCTGAGCAACAATCCAAACACAATAACAAATTCCATTTGCAAAGACATCCCCATGGGTTGTTTGGGCGAGGCACAAGAATTGAATGTGCTTTCACAGCTCTGTCAGTTCAGCAAGTATGGCTCTAAGTTCCCTTGGGTCAAGTCAGTAGCAATGTTGAGTAGGAAGCTGCCACGCAATCATTGTTCTTGACTATGACTGAGGTTTAAAGAGATAGAGCTGTTTCTAAACACAATGCTTTTCTATGACCCTTTCATCTACCACCTGCATTTCTCCTCTCCCCTTAGAAAGGAGAGTTACATGAAAAAACAACAAAACAGGAGTTTCACAACCACACAACCTCGTGTAACCTGAGCTGCTCCTAATCTTCTGCCTGCGACAACACAGTCTTGTTATTGTGACTTTCCCTATCTTGGTCAACATACCGGGGATTAAAGT